GCCGCTGCTTCCGCGAGCCCCAGGTGTGGATACTTGAGGGTAGTGCGAACGGGAAGGCGGCCGGGGCGCAGCGACTTCGTTTGCGGCGTTTGTGGGTCGGGGGAGGGGGAAGCTTTTTTGGTCGCCACCCCCAACCCCGCCATTTCTCCGGGAATTTGGCACAGAGGTAAGGAAGTTTAAGCGCAACTTTCTTTAGAAAAAAGGTTGAAAATCAGACCAGTTCAACTTAGATAATAGAGTTAAAAGGAATTGCTCTTGTATTTGTTTTAGAACTTTTGAAATGTTTTCAAGGAACTGGTAACTATTTGGAGGAACTGGCAGCGTCATTAGACCAAGTTAAAAAACAAAAAGCCCCAGGATCTCAGATCGTATCTACAGCACCACTCAAATTAGCCGTTACGGCTTTAACTAGGTTTTAAAAATCTCGTGAACAAGCACCTGAGAGTACCCAAATGTTCCAGTGGGTGGTGGGAATGTGGACTTGGCTTCAGTGTTTTTACTTTTAAAGAGAACTTTCCTCTACTTTCTGGTAATGAATATACATATTTAATTAAGACGGAAGCCAGAAAAACTTTTTCAAACGAACTAAAAATAAAACTTTTAGAAAGGGAAGGAAGCAGCTTGTGGGAGTCCGAGAGATGCTTTGTGTGAGAGTTGGGCTTTTTTCTTTTGTGAGCGCCTCTGACTCACAACTTCCACCTTACCTTTGGCTAGTGTTTACTTCTTTTCTCCACCTGGGTGCTGGGTCTCCCCAAGAGTGGTGCCTGAGCGCATGGAGCTGTCACCTGCTTGAGGCTGGCGGCACATTAAAGACCGTCGCTTTGACCATTTAGTGATTTCTGAAAGGCTTCCTGGAAGTGGACACTTGAGAAAAATCTACGGTTGTGGATGTTTATGAGGAAGTGTTTCACATTTCTCCAATGAAGGGAGGTTTTAAAAGCAAGGAAAACAAACTTAACTTAAGAAGGGTGGGACAGGCTTAGTTTTTGTTTGTTGTTGCCACTGGCCTTTACCATATAATTAGTATTCTATGCTTTTAGGAGGTTCGGGTCTCTCCAGACTTAAACCCTTCTGGAAGGAGCTTTGAGCCCCTTGTGAATTTCATCAGCCAATGTATCTTGATGATGTGTCATTACTGAAACTTTCTGTTCTGCTGCTGCACCACCCACTACTTGTATACATCGTTCTTGCTTAGGACATTTAAAATGTCTCAGAATGTGTAGTTAGAAAAGAACATTTTACTGTCAGATAATAAGGCTAATTTTTGGTAGCTCTAAAATGTTAAAGTATGTATATGTGGAGGTAATCCACAAATTATATCCGACCCATTATGCACTCATTAGGGCAAATTATGTAAGATAATCAGGGTTTGTGTTTTTCTTTTCTTGTCAAAAGACGTAATTGTCAATGCAAATTAAGATGTGTGATGATTTTTCCAGTAGAAATGTTCCTGTTCATCATAATTTAACTGTGAGCATATTCGTTTCTTTAAATTAGTGGAGAGTGGTTTGCGAGGTGGGCAGGTGACTGTATTAGAGCCCTGAATGAGCACTGCAGGCGCAGCAAGATGTTAAATTCGTGTGGTTCCTCCCTGTATCCCAGCCTTATGCATGAAGCACTGTGATGACCGGCTGAAGGGGCATGGGTGCACACTGAAGGAAGGCTCAGCCGGTGCCCAGTGGGTTTTAATCTCATGCATACAATGGATGTACTTTACATCCCTTGGAAAGTGCAGAGCTGGAAGGGGCTTCAGAGTAAAGGAAACTAGGAAGGGAGGAAGAGAGGAGACATTCATATAAACTCTGAACTCCTTTCTAGCCTCTGCTTTTCTGCAGCCTCACCATTGTGTCAGATTTGATGTCCTCTGACAGTGATCATACCTCCCATGGGCTCTAGTCCTTGTTGGACTGACCACCGTGTCTTTGTGCTTTTGTAATGAATGACAGGAATGACGCCCAGTAGAGGCAAGGGGATGATCCTTTACTGAGAGTGCTCAGCAGTGAAGCTCCCAGAGGCTGGAGGATGGGACTGCCTCAGCTTGAGCAGAGAAACCGGGAGGTCTTAAATGTCAGTGTGGTCCTTTTATTCTCCTCTAGCGCTAGGGTGTAGGTTGGACCCCTAGAGAAGGAAATGCTGCTAAATGTTCTCATGAATATACATGGAGCATACTGTTTGGAGGAGTAAAGGAATTTTTCTGATACTGACCTCACAGCCAGAGTGGACCCTTCTGATCCTATGGCTTAAAATGTGTGCCCAGAGCCTCAGAAGCTCGTCACACAGTCACATCGTTTGTGACTTCTTAGAAGGCCAGCACGATGATTTGCCATTTTAGTAATCCCATATTCAGAAGGCTGCTTGGTCATCATGTGATGCACTGCTGACCTCCCATTCATAGAAGAGCTGAATTCTCAGTGATCGGGAGAAACTTCAGATAGCACAGCAGTTCTGATCTGGTCAGGTACACAGGACAGAAAACCATAAGATAACTTACATGACTTAAAACAGTTTAGGAATATTACAGTAAGTTAATGAAGAACAATAAAGCCATTCAGATAGAATAGTCTTGGGAGTAGGCATGCTAACTTTATTTTATTATTTTTTTACACTTTATACTTTTATTGAAGTACAGTCAGCTTACAATGTTGTGTCAATTTCTGGTGTACAGCACAATACTTCAGTCACATAGGAACATACATTTGTTCTCATATTCTTTTTCACCATAGGTTACTACAATACTGAAAACGGTTCCCTGTGCTATACAGTATAAACTTGTTTATCTATTTTGTATGTATTAGTATCTGCCGATCTTGAACTCCCAATTTATCCCTTCCTACCGTAGCCCTTCCCCCTTGGTAACTGTAAGTTTGTTTTCTATGTGAGTCTGTTTCTGTTTTGTAAATAAGTTTGTCTTTTTTTTTTTTTTAGATTCCACATATAAATGATCTAATAATGTATTTTTCTTTCTCTTTCTGGCTTACTTCACTTAGAATGATATTTTCCAGGTTCATCCATGTTGTTGCAGATGGCATTATTTTATTATTTTTTATGGCTGAGCAGTATTCCATTGGATAAATATACCACAACTTCTTTATCCAGTCATCCTTCGATGAACATTTAGGTTGTTTCCATGTCTTGGCTATTGTAAATAGTGCTGCTGTGAACATTGGGGTGCATTAGGCATGCTAATTGTAGATTGCTCTTGAGAATTCTCTATTCTCCATTACTGAGCTATAGTTTAGGATTGCTACCTCCCAGATACAGTCTTGTTTCATAAAGAACATAGCTTTATGCGTCAAAGTGGAATTGATACAGGTTATGTGGAGGAGGCATGGAGATAAGAAAATATTTGTGGAACCATTTTATTTTCTTTCTGAAAAGCAGTGGTTGGTGAGTGTTTTCAAATAGGACCATTCAGAGGCGTATGTGGCATACTCCTGAAGTTAACATGTAGCGCCCTGTGAGTAGTGCAAAAAGGTGTGGTAGAGTCTCACAGTGAAAAGGGCCAAAATTTTAGTTCAAATAATTGATGGCTTCCTGCCTGTTTTCCTTCATGATCATTCACTGATGACTGAAGGCTCCCCTGACCTTAAATGGGTTAGTCCATTTGTCAGATATTCTTTGAGCACCTACTGTGTGCTAGGTATTGTTAGTGATGGTGAAAGAAACAAAGATACAGAAAACCCTGTAGGATCTTGTTGTTTTTTTGTCATCTTATTTGAACTATCAGTCATCTCCTAGATGGCAGTCCTGAAAAAGCGTTTTTCATGCAAGTTTGGATGTCCAGAGTTCAAACAGTAGGTTCACTTATTATTCCCCAGAGCCCCCCATCAGAAGGTCCCTCTGGAACTCTTGCCTCTTCTTCCTTTGCCAGAGCTCAGCTGGCTCCCGCTCTGTGCTGTGGGGACCTTGGTGGTCTTGGATTTGGGGAATGGAGATGACTCTTAGGGGTCATCCTTCCCTAACCCCCTCCCACCCCCCACCCTCTAAGGAAGGTGAACAATCACTTTTTTAAAAAAGTTCTGCTGTGCTAGGTACTAACATGAACAGATTTAATCCTCACTCTAGTTCTGTGAAGTAGGTTGTATTATCTGCATTTTAAAGATAATGCTAATAGAGTGATTTGCTCAGGGCAACCTGGCCAGGAGGGAGCTGAGCCAGGATTCTGTTCCCAGAGCTGGGGCCTGACTCTTGTTGCTAGAATCATGGGGTCTTGGTGGGTCACACAGCTTTCACTGAAATGTTATGAGGCTAGAAATCCTCTCTCAATTTACGGTGCCGTTGAGATGATCAAGGACATGCCAAGTTTAACGGACTATTTAAATGGAAGGGGTTGTCAGCGGTTTGGGGTGTTCTTATGATACCGTTGTGCTCCTCCCTTGAAGAAGGGCTGGGGTGTTAACAACAGCTGGTCTGGTTCTTTTTAAAGAGCTGGCCTGGTTATGCTTTTAGCGGGATTCCTTGGATGCTGTCTGTAAAAGTCAGCTTGGGAATAGGAATGAGATCCACAAAGTTTTTACAGAGAAATGATTTTTAGATGGATTTTGTCTTGTCCAAGTAGTGCCATGTTCATAGAAGCTGAAAAGGAAGCAAAAATGGAACTACTACTCTACCTCCCTACTCCCTGGGCATCATTTTCTCGGTGTTTCCTGTTCAGTGTTTGCCTGTGTTCGGTCACCAGTTGGGCGTAAGTTTTACAGTATGGTTGCTGTTTGAATTTTGCTTTCTTCAGTGATATTGCTGCTATTTTTTCCAAGTAGCTTGAAGGTCTTTAGAGATATCATTTTTAATAACTGTAATGTTTGATTCAGATGTATATTTTTATGTATTTTCTGTTGAAAACATATTTATTAGTAAATAAATAAATCTAAGAAACTTTGCAATAAATGTCTTGGGAGTGGTGCAGACCTTATGCCCTGTGTTGGAGTCAACACGGTTTTTAAAATTGCGGTTTCTTTATCATGTACTTACTATCTGGTAGAAGGAATGTGCCTGATTTTCAGTGGATGGGAAACCTCTGACATGTTTTCCTAAGGCACTTCCCCTTTTGTTTTGCTGTATTAGCTGAGAGAAAGCAGTTTTTTGCTTAGGTTAGAACCAGGGCTCTTGATAACTGGCTTAAAATAATGACTGTTTTGCTCTTGAACTTAGTGCCCCTAACTTAGGCTT